TATTTTTGAATGTTTGATTCAATACTTTGTTCAGGTATATCATCAAAATCAAATTCAAACTTCTCGAGACCCCAATTGACATCTATCTCACCCATTCCATCACATACAATTGATGGTCTAAACCTTCTTCTATAATATGAAACAGCCAGCAAGAAGTGCCCATTCTTTGTGAAAAATATCAATTTCTTATCAGCCAAATACCCACATCCCATGACACCTCCATTCTTAAATCTTTCAGTTATATTTTCTCCTGTTCCTTTCATATTATACATCTTTCCATCATCCGAGTGCATTCCAACAGCGCCTTCTTTCCACCCAACATGATTTCTACATATTGGAAGGTTCAAATTAGTTTCTGAAACGCCCATTGAGACTACCATAGAACGTCCAATATCTTTTGCTACAATTTCTTGTAAAGTGACTTCAAAGTAATAAATTGGAGTTCTTTCAAAAACGACCGATGTTTTGGTGTGCCTCACAAAAACGTGTTCTTTGCTGCGCCAAAATCCAGTTGTGTGAATTGCCTCTTTGCCATTTGTCTTCTTTGTGAATGTGCTTTTCTGTTGTACAAACGACATTTCTGGCTCGACGTAAAATTGAAGTTTTTTAAATGTTTTCTGAAGCTTTTTGAGAAGCCTGGTATACGTGAATGTTGTGTGGTTCTCAATATCACAGGTGTTGGTGTGGAACATGTTGCTCAATGATTCAATAGCGTTGTCATCTGCGTCTTTGCTGAATGTTGTTTCTTTGTGATCAGAAGTATATTCACTTTGTTTTACAAGTGTAGATGGTGTATTTAATACAATCATTTTTAATTCGGCGACATCTTTCTCAAGTGTGGTAATGCGTTGGTCTCTTTTAGAAAGTTCGTTCGAATAGAATGCCATACATTCTTGCACTTGTTGACTTAACTGGGATATCAAGTCATATGTTTTACTCATTGTTATTTGGTTGTTATAAGATTTTTATCGTTTTATAATGAATTATCATATTAAACCATTTGAAAGAGAACCACTGATAATGTCTTGTGACGAAATTAGTCAAAATAACATATAGATGTTGAAAAAAATGATAATCAAAACTAAAATTTGATTAAATAATCAAATTTAATGATTAGTTTTATTTTATTTTAATAATAATATTGTTTGTAATTAAAATACAAACATTATCAAGTCAGATTTGATTGATACTAAACATCACAACATTGTTAAAATTAAATACAAACTGAATTGAATTTGTCTCTACAAACAAATAATTGTGTATATCATATATATATTGTTATTATATATTGTATTTATAAAAAAACAAATCATCACTATGATAATGGAACTATGAAATAGTAGATATTAAGATTACAAATATATAATTAAAAACATTTCATATATCTTTTTGGTCATTTTTAACAAAATTTAATGTTTCAAATGATAAAAGTTGTTTTTTATACTAAGTTTAAATAATATATTATGATAATAAAACAACATGATAATAACAATTTTAAGTTATTTTTTATAAATTTAATAAATATAAAAAACGTTTTTTAAGTCATTAAAATGTTTTCAAACATAAACCCATTATTTGAGTTTTATTTCACTGATAATTTATTTTTATTTTTATTATGATTAAATAAATAAGACTGATAAAAAACAATTATCATTTATTATGATAATTTTTAATATAAATAATAATAAAAGTATTTACAAGTTTTGATGAGACTTTAAATTTGATGAGACAATACATTGAATTATTTCAAAACAATAATAACCATGTGTTATAGTATTTATATTTTACAATTTATTACATAAATTGTGTTTAAACAATATAAAAACACCACTCTCAGTTCATTTGACAATGACTACTATTTATACATTTCATAATAACCGTACACTTATTCTTTTCACTCTTCCAAGCGGCGTGTGTTACAACGATATTAGAAACACCTTTCAAAAAGATGCATATTCAATTAAAAGTATCGAACTTAAAGGATCAACCGTATCGATCGTATTTCATGACCACTTTACTCCACTCAGAATTCATCAAACTAGAACATCATACAGAATTAAAAATGAGCCAATCCAAATTTATTGGAAGCTTTCAAAAAATGAACTTGCTTTGAGAGAAATATACCTAAACCTTTTTTGGCCTAAAACCCGAGTCTACAGATATGTCCGTTCAAGTCTGTGTGAGTATGTTCAAATCAAGTCATTTCATTTGACTTTTTATAAATGTGGTGTCTATTCCATCATCAAATTTAGCACATTTGAAGATGTCGAGAATGTCTTCAGGAACTATTCTGATATCAAAGAATAAATTGGCACCAAGAAATTTGGTGTTAAACATTACAAAGAGGAGACAGAGAAATATTTGGGTGTGATAATAAAAAACATCCACCACAACTAAATTGCAAATTCGAAATTTTTCGAGTACTTCAAATCATTTGAAAAACATCAAAAATTTCAACCTCTCGGAAATCAACACAAAGTTTAATGCCAAAGTGTTGTATGTGGAGTATTTCGAAGAAGATGACGTGAAAACGTTAATTGAAGAAGTTGATGGGAATGATGTCTTTAATTGTGACATGCCCCTTTCAGCCAGTTTTGTAAGAAGAAATACTAATACTAATATATTGGTTAACAAAACAGACTACAACAACAGAAAAGGTGTTGAAAACAGTTCGAAAAACAACAATTTATTTTTATATTAACTTTATCAACAAGACCAAATAATTTAATTAACATTATTTATTTTGTTTGATAATATGTTGTTATTTATAAATCGTAACTTAAAACTTACACAACGTAATTTGATTGTATTTTAATATCAAAAATCAACAATAATTGACTTTTGCTTTGTTTTTCATGTAAAAAACTTCAAATAATTATCAAACATACCCACAATATATTTACAATATATAACTAATTTATTATGTAACAACACACACTTAAAACGTCTGACTGGATGAGATTCGCTTACTGGATTTGTGTATTATTTTATGTCCACTGGACAAACCAGTTTCCATGGAATGCAAAAATAAAATATATATAAATAGGTTGTTTTTTATAGTAAAATTAATAAAATTTTATTTTGCTGTTTTTTTAAATGTTTGCGAAATTTTTAATAATTGGTATATATTACAACCATAATTATCATTTTAAACTTATTTAAGTTCAATGTAATACTTGTGTACAAAAAACAAATGCTAATAAAAAACAATACATAGTCGAGACATTATTATACAAATATAACAATTCTATAAATGACATGTTATAATGATTTCCACAACTAAATTTTAAATTAAAACTTGTTTTAAATATAGTATTTCACTAAAAACATTATCAATTTGGTTGTTAGTTTTGTTTTGTATTTAAATTTCGATTATAATATGTTACTTTAATTATTTGAAATTTTGATTTGTACAAATATACAATATCAATACAAATATAAACAATATTAAATCTTATTCAAAAGATACCAGTATTACTATTTAAAATAGTGATATTTTATTTTATAAATATAAAATAATCATAAATGCAATTATTATAATATTATTATGTAATAATATACATAAAATATAATTGTTGATTAAACATGATAACATCAAATCTTATTTTAATTTATTTATTGTAAGTAATTATACAGTCATGCGAAAAAGCTGTCGCGTTGGAAAAAC